TTCCATGGCTCCACCTTGGAATTCTGCATAAAAATACAAGGTTGATGATGTATTTAGCAATTATAAAAATTGTGATAGCAAAAACGATAATCATTAAATAAATAAATTTTCTCTAGTATAAAGATCCAAAAAAAAATAAAATTAATAATACAATAATATTATTGATAATATAATACAATAATATTGTTATTAATAATATAATATAATAGTATTATTAATGAAAATATAATATAACATATTATTATTATTATTATTAGAAAAGAATGACAATTTAGTAAAAGGTCTCTCCTAAAATTCTTTTATTTCTCTTAACCAAACATTAATTATTTATACTCATCAATTTATTTTAATCTAACTAAACATATTTAATATAACATTTCTAGTAACTTTCTTAATAATCTATCTTCCTATTGATATAATATTCTCAGTAATACAATATTTTCTGAACCAAACGCTTCATAAGTATTAAGGAGTTTAATTTAATGTCTTAATTATAATAATTAGGGTGTCTTTGGATCGGGGACATATAAGAAAACGAGTGTAATCTTTGTTTATTTTACAAGATTATGGTATTTGGTTTGCAAGTAATAAAATATTGCGAGAATCTTTTATTACAAATAGTGTTTGATGCTAGTAATGTGGGGGTAATCCGATACCCTCCCCCACCTGTGAGATTAAAACATCACCGAATCTGATTGTTATACCTATTTTGCCATTAAGTAGATACTATTTCGGACACAATTGCCCTCAAATGTCTACCAAATAATAATTAGTCCAGCCCTTTACATTTGAGAAATTAGCTAAAACACCACAACCACAAAAAAAGTTTAAATAAATGCCCCCAGTCACCCAAAACCACTGCCGGCATCAGTCGCCGTAATGGTGCACAACCAGCGGGATTTGGTCGATCGTGCGTCGGTAAGGCCTTTTCCAGCCATGGATCTGTGATCCATGGTTGGAACCGGCCAGATTGAGCCATTTCAATGGTCGTTTCATGATCACTGTGAAATAGTCATAGATCTGGCCATGAAACAACCATGGATTTGTGATCCATGGTTGGAAATGGCTTTGCTGACGCACAGTTGACCATATACGATCAGTTGTGCATCATTCTGTTTACTGTCGACAGTAGTGGCTTAGGGTGAGTGAGGGTGATTTTGCTATAAATTAAAGTTTTATATACTGGAGTGTTTTAGCAAAATTTCAAATGTATGGGATTAAAAGAAATGATTCAAAAAATAATAATAATAAATATTATTATATAATGTTTAAAAATAAGGAAAATTTAATAATCTATATAATATACTCACCTATTTATTCTTCCAACTAAATATATTATTCATCAATTTATTCTAACCAACTAATATATTTTTTAGACATTACATATAATCTTCGAAGTGATTTATCTTTTTGTTAATATATAATCTAAACAGTATCATTTATGAAGTTAAAAATTAAGTTAAATTTTTTTAATGTTAAATATTAAATAATGTGACTTATTATCAACTACCCGTTTTCATTATTTTATCCTAAAAAAGGAAAAGGTAGTATTTATTACAGTATTGCTCTATTAATGTGACTTTTGTATCTTATCTTATCGAGTTATCTCTATCTATTTTTATAATAAAAACTAATTGGATGTGACATTTGACAGGATTTTTCACAATTATTGGTCTACTAATTTTTTTACTATAAAAATGTTTTATTTTTTGATTTGTTTCTTTTAAAAGTGTTATGAAATCCATCATTGAGATAATCCATATAAAGAGTTCAGGAGAAAAACACAATAAATTTGAATAATTTAATCAAATTTCAAGGATAAAAACTTATCTTAAAGCAACAGTGTACTTTCGAAATATTGTTATTATTATTATTATTAATAGTAATATTAAAAAAGAATGACAATTCAGGAAAAAGTCTCTCCTAAAATTCTTTTATTTCTCTAAACTAAACATTAATTATTTATACTCACTAATTTATTTTAATATAACCAAACATATTTAATATAATAATCTCAATAATCTTTTTAATAATCTATCTTCCTATTGATATAATATTCTCAGTAATACAATATTTTCTAAACTAAACGCTTCGTAAGTATTTAGAAGTTTAATTTAACTGCCTTAATTATAACAATTAGGGTGCGTTTGGATAGAGGGCATATAAGAAAACGGGGATAATCTTCGTTTATTTTGCAAGATTATGTTGTTTAGTTTGCAAATAATAAAATATTACAAGAATTTTTTATTATAAATAGTGTTTACTATTGGTAATGTGGGGGTAATCTAATACCCTCCACCACTCGTGGGATTAAAACATTACCGGGTCTGATTATTATAACTATTTTGCCATTAATTAGATACAATTTTAGACACAATTGTCCTCAAATGTCTACCAAATAATAATTAGTCCAGTCCCCTACATTTGAGAAATTAACTAAAACAGCCCAACCACAAAAAAATTTAAAGTTAACAAAATACCCCTAGTCACCCAAGACCGCTGCATCGTTAGTCGCCATAGCGGTGCACAACCAACGGGATCTGATCGATCGTGCGCTAGTAAGACCTTTTCCAGCCATGGATCTCTTATCCATAGTCAGAAACGGTCAGATCTAGTCGTTTCATAATCCCTGTGAAATGGTCATAGATCTGATCATGAAACGGCCATGAATTTGTAATCCATGGTTGGAAATGACTTTAATGGTGCACGACCAGCCATATATGGCCAGTCGTGTGCCATTCTAGTGGCGAACGGCATCTGACGGTAGTGGCTACCTATCAATAGTGGCTTGGAGTAGGTGGGGGTGATTTTACTATAAATTAAAGTTTTATATGGATAGAGTGTTTTAACAAAATTTCAAATATAAGAGGCTAAAAAAACGATTCAAAAAATAATAATAAAAAATAATATTACATAATATTTAAAAATGAGGATAATTTAGTAATCTATATAACATAATCACATATTTATTCTCCAAATCAAACATATTATTTACCAATTTATTCGAATCAATCAAATACATTTAATAATCTTTAAAGTGATTTATGTTTATGATAATATAACATCCTCCTATAAAAAAATAAAAACATTATATTATTCAAAATACCCGATACTTCAAATTTATGAAGTTAAAAATTAAGTTAAATTTTTTAATATTAAATATTAATTAATATGACTTATTATCGACCACCCGTTTTCATTATTTTATCCTAAAAAAGGAAAGGTTAGTATTTATTATAGTATTGCTCATTAATGTGAATTGTGTATCTTATCTAATCGAGTTATCTCTATCTATTTTTATAATAAAAACTAATTCGATGTGACATTTGCCCAAGATTTTTCACAATCATTGGTCTACTAATTTTTTTACTTGTTTCTTTTAAAAGAATTATGATATCTATTCATTTATGGTATTAGAATTATACCATCTTATATTACTTCATTGTAACGTTTGATTGTCAAGTAATATAAAATATTGATAATTTATAAATATCAATAATTTATAAATATCAATAATAATTATTATTAGTAATATTAAAAGTAATTTAATTACCTTAATTTTCTTAATATTCTAAGATTTGTAAGGTAATTTTTTTTTTACAATTTTATTCTTTATTAATAAAATTTTAGGATAATAATACCCTTATTTTTAAATTTATTTACATAAATATGATTTTTACTATTTCACCCTAATATTAATTAACTTTTTGGACAAAATTACTTTTAAATTCAAAACAAATTACAGCCCATCCAAGCCACCACCCCCACTGACCTACCACCGACAACCACCACCGCGGCCAGTCGCCTCCACAGTCAGAACGGCGCACAGAAGGCCAAAAATGGCCGTTGTGCGCCGATATGGCCATTTTCATTTTCGGCTAGATATATGGTTGGAAATGACTAGATCTTGCTAGATCTGGCTGTTGACGGCTAGATTGATGGTAGTTAATGGCCACGTCTGTGGCCATTAACTGCCATCGATCTGGTCATTGACGACTGGATTAGATCTGACTATCGACGACCAGATCTGTCACGTCTGGCCATTTTCGACCATATCTCTAGTCGAAAATGGCCATACGACACACGAGGGCATTTCTTGCCTTCCGTGTGCCATTAGGTTGTCGACTGTCAGCGGCCTGCGATGGTTTCCGATGGTCGACAGTGTCTGGGTTGATGGAGGTGCTTTGTTGATTTTTCAAACTTTTATTACAAGGTTGTTTTTGCTAAGTTTTTATATACAGGGGTTATAATAATCCAAATAATAATTAATATTAAAAAATAATATAATAATAATATTTAATTAAAGGACAATTCAGTAATTTAAACAACATACCTACTAATTTATTCCTGCCAATTAAGTATATTAATATAACATACTCACCAATTAATCAAATATATTTTCTTAAAATTTCTCAATAATCTTCTAGATAAACTAACTTTTCAGTTATTTAACATTTCTAGGAATCAACATTTCTTGAACAAACGTTTTCTGAACAATTTAATCAAATTTTAAGATAAGAAATTATCTAAAAGCAGAAGTGTACTTTCAAAATATTGTTATTGGGATGTCATCTTTTGACTTTTGGACTTTATCGAGAAATATATTTTTAATCATATTTGAAAACGTGGGATTTCATAATCATAAGAGAACATATAAATAAAATAAACAACTTTTAGCTTTCATCTACCCACTTGTTTGCAATTAAAAGAAGTACTAAAAAAAAAGCAATTGATTGCTGACTATCAACAACTCTCACACTAACCCTTTATACAATATCAATATGGTCAAAAAGAAAAACCTAAACGCTTATTAAAAAAATAAATTAATGGATTTAACGTGTGTATTTCGTAATATTTTAGATTTTTTTTTCTTTTTTTGTGATACAAGAATCTTGAATTAATTAATTGATGATTGTCTCATAATCATTCTTGGAAAAAGTTATATGTGGCATGAATTAAATGACAGATTCCCAAATATGCCCAAACTCTTTTTCGTCATAACCCTACTTTTCACTCCTCATCATCAGTTTCAGTGCTCACATCCCTGTTCATGCAACACTTTCACTTAAACTCTGCCCCTACATTCATGCCCCCACATATATAGTCCCTTCCTTCTTCAATTCACACTCAGAGTTCAGGACGAATTTGATTTCCTCTCGACTTTCCTGAATCTTATTGTGTCTAACTCTTATTGGGTTTTTCCTGATTTGACTTTATCTTAACTTTTACCAGATTTCGATTCGAGATCCTGAATCATGACACAAGTAGAAAACCAAACACAAAACCATGAACTTCCGATCACTTCCACCACCGCCACTACAACCAAACCAAAATCCAAGAAACTGACACTAATCCCTCTCATTTTCCTCATCTATTTTGAGGTGGCCGGAGGCCCTTATGGAGAAGAGCCTGCAGTACAAGCAGCCGGGCCTCTCTTGGCGCTTCTTGGCTTCCTCATCTTTCCCTTCATCTGGAGTGTCCCTGAAGCTCTCATCACCGCCGAGCTCTCCACCGCCTTTCCGGGCGACGGCGGTTTCGTCATCTGGGCTCACCAGGCCTTCGGACCCTTCCTCGGATCCATGATGGGCTCCTGGAAATTCCTGAGCGGAGTCATAAACGTTGCAGCTTTTCCAGTTCTTTGCATAGACTACCTGGAGAAAGTTATCCCCGCCCTGGAATCAGGCTGGCCGAGAAATCTGGCAATTATGTTATCAACCTGTGCACTTTCTTTTCTCAACTACACAGGATTAGCCATCGTTGGATATGCCGCTGTTTTGTTAGGGATTGTTTCTCTTTCTCCTTTCGTATTAATGTCTCTGATTTCCATCCCAAAAATTCAACCACACAGATGGCTCAGTTTAGGCCAAAAAGGGGTTAAAAAAGATTGGAACTTGTTCTTCAACACCCTCTTTTGGAACTTGAATTTCTGGGATAATGTCAGTACTTTAGCAGGCGAAGTAGATAAGCCTCATAAAACATTCCCCAAAGCGCTTCTAGTGGCAGTGATTTTTACTTGTTTAGCCTATTTGATCCCACTTTTAGCCGTCATTGGAGCTGTTTCCGTGGATCAAAGTCAATGGGAATCCGGGTTCCATGCCACTGCAGCTGAAATAATTGCAGGAAAATGGCTAAAATATTGGATTGAAGTTGGGGCGGTCCTGTCCGCAATTGGGCTATTTGAGGCACAACTAAGCAGCTGTGCATATCAGCTTTTGGGCATGGCGGATTTGGGCTCTTTGCCGAAGTTTTTCGGTTCAAGATCAAAATGGTTTGACACTCCATGGGTGGGAATTTTGTTGTCCACATTAATCACACTTGGAGTTTCATATATGAACTTCACTGACATAATTTCATCAGCCAATTTTTTATACAGTTTGGGGATGTTGCTAGAATTTGCCTCATTTTTATGGCTGAGGAGGAAGTTGCCGCTATTGAATAGGCCGTTCAGGGTGCCAATGAGGCTGCCGGGATTGGTGATTATGTGCCTAATTCCATCTGGGTTTTTGGTTTTGATTATGGCGATTGCAACAAAGACTGTGTATTTGGTGAGTGGGTTGATGACATTGGGGGCAATTGGATGGTATTTTTTGATGAAGCTTTTGAAGTCAAAGAATGTGTTCAAGTTCAATAATGGTGGTGAAGAATGATGTGTTTGGCTAGGTTAAATTGACTTTTGACTTTTTGCAAAAGTGCTTTTGTATGAGAAAATGACTTATGAAGATGTAGAGTAACTATCTTGGGCATATATACAAAAGACTTTTATAGCAATACACATGTAGAGGACAAAAAACCATACCCATTAGAATATATTGTTGTACTCTTTTCTTTAATGTTTTTTCATCTTTTACATAGTATAAAACTCTTTTATTTTTTTTCTTTTTTTATATGATTGGGGTGTCCGGACCATCTTACGTATACTTCAATTCATCTCTCCCAGGACTTGAAACTATCGTTCGGGTAAAAGCTTTAGTGATTTTCTCTATTAGCAATTAAGAAGACTCTTTTATCATCAAGAAGACTTGAACTTGAAAAATCATGTTAGATCCTCTTGCTCTTCTACCATCAAGGAGACTTAAATTGGAGAGACCATGTTAAATCCTTATTTGCTATTTTACTATCAGACCACTCAATAGTGGTTAACTCTAATTTATGTAAAAATTTGCTTAGTAGCTCAATATCAAAATGCTAGATTTTTAAGGGTGAATGTAAAATGGAGAGTGTGTTGGCATTTGGATTTTATTTCACACAAGCTATAAAAACACTTGACTTTTGATACACAAAGTTGATGTCAAATTAACGAGAATTTTCAACGTTGATTATATATAATATAGGATTAATTTGGATTAAGTTAAAGTTGGACTTGGAATTACAAGATTTTTTTTTTTTTTTTTTTTTTTTTTTTAAATTTTTTGGGGAGAGATGATTGATGTGAAGATGAAGTATAATTTGGGTGATAGTGTTTAAATATTTATAACTTTTGCCTGCACGGAACGGCTTCAATTGTTAAATTAATTTGTGTTTGGATTCTAAAGAATCCCAAGATCTGTTTTTTTCAACATCAATACTAAAATATATATTATTAATTTATTAGTTATTCTGTTTATAATTTGATGAATACAAGCCAAGTAATGCAGGGAAGAGGTTTCATTAACTCCGAATTTATATCTCTATATATTTGATCATGATAATTTGATATCAAAAGAATAAATCAAAGAAGAGACATATGATATTTGTTGTTTTATACATTATTGTCATCCAAGATTTGTTATGTTAATGAGTTGATAATATAATGGAGTCGATAATAGTTATCAAATCAAGCTGAATGAAGAGAATATCAATTTTGAATCGTTGATAACATCATTTCACCATTTTATTTTTAAATATAATTGTTTAGAAGAGCAAATTATTTCAATATTAAATACCCACTTGGTCAATATTTAGAATATGGGGATTGAAGAATCATAAATAATAGTGATATTGAATATTCCAATAGAATTAGTTGGTTGGACCAAATCTTGAAACACGAAGCCAGCTATAATTCCATGAGCGCACAACAATTATTTCTATAATTTATAATATTTCTCATTATTGATGGTCCAAAAACAGTACATAATAAGCTGTCATTCAACTGCAAAATTATTATTTTATGTTTCATCTTTGATTCTAATCCAACAAAATGCATCTTAGAGATCATGCATATGTTGAATAATCCCAATTATTATTATAAATATCAACTAATTTGAGATACCTACAAATTCTCCTTTTTCTATTCCTAACTAATTTTCAATAGGGATAGTACTAAACAAGACGGTAATAAACATGGTTGTCACCATCTTAGTTCAAAAAGTATTAAAACATCCCTATAATTGTCAAAAACCCCCCTACAAAATAACGAAACAAAAATCTTTAAAAAATCAAACATCTTCTTACAAAATTATCAAAATATCCCTGATAAGAAAGTATTTAAAACGTTCTAAACAAAATGGATGAGTTTCATAGTAAGCAATCTCACATGAGGAAATAAAATAATCCTTTTAGACAAAGCTGATGTTCTAGCAATAATCCCAAAACACTAGTAGTATCGTTCTATAAATCATATAACAAAAACATTATATTTTTTTTTAAAAAAAAAAAAAAGATTCAAAGCTATTACATCAATGTATTTATAATTTTTTTTCTCTCGTTTACCTTAAATAGTTAATAAAAAAATATGATTTATGACTTTTAAATTGAATATATGTAAGAAAATTTGGCAACCAAATATGATTTTAATGATAATTTTTTCAATAACACTCCACAAACATTACTCCCTTACAATATGATGTGATAGCTGACGTGACAGATGTCACCCATCTGCCACATCACTTCCCTCCAAAAATTAAAAAAAAAAAAAAAAATCTTACAATAACAAATTCAAAATTTCATTTTCCCTCGATCCAAATCCTAAATCAATTTCATTTTCACTCAAATTCGAACCCTAAAGTTTTTCCCAGATTTCTTTTCAATTTTTAGAACCCTAGCCACCATATTCCCCAATCTTAGGCGAAACGCAGTCGCCACCACAGCCGCACTAGGTCGACCTCTGCACCAGCTCCGTTAGGTATTCATCTGTCAGGTCTATGGAATTTCGACCACCTTGATTGTGTTGACCACTCTGGTTTCCTCCATCACCTTCTCTACTCTTCCATCAACAACCTCCTGAGGAGCAATTCTGGCCTTCTCCCTTTCCTCTCACTGCTCCTTTTCATCCGTATGTCCATATCCCTTATTTCTCTCTCTGACTCTGTCTCTGTCTCTGTCTCTTTTATTTTCTTAATTCTGATAGGATTCTGCTAATTATGATTCATAAACAGATATGGAGGGAATTTAACTCTATCCATGTCTTTATTTATTCATTTCATTATAGTTGTTTATCTTTGACTATATCTCTGCTCTTTTTTCTTTGAATTTGAAAATCCTTTTGTTATGTTCCAGATGTTCTTTCCTCTTGGATCAACAACTGTTGTTGTATATGGTGGAATTAGTTCTTTGGTCTTCTACGGAACATAGTCTATGACACTGATCATTTGATCAAGCACTTCCCATATGACAAATATATTTTGGCCTCTGTTGCTCTCTATTTCGATATACTGAACTTATTCATTTTCATTTTTCATGTGCTAAGGTCGGCTGACAGTTAGGTGTACGGTGGTCTACAACCAACATGGATTAGGCTTGAAAACACACCATATGGTGATCCGTTTATGTGTTCATTTGAACTTGAAACTGAAATATGAACTATGGTATTAAGGATATTGTACATGTTCCCATGTACTCTTGTGTTATTGTCCTCACAAACTTTCCTAAGTGTGGTAAATAGGTATATGATTGAGATATTTTTCCATTTGATGCTCCTTCTCACTGCAAATGTGTTTCTTATTATTCATTAATTTTGCTTGAGATACCGCCACTGGATGGAATACAGGAATAACATGCTTATTGATTTGTTTGGAGTTTGGAATGATGGAAACATGTTGCTTTGTCTTTAGAGACCTTCAATGAGAGAAATTGATGGAATTAAGACAAGCTATACATAATTGATTAGATTTAATGTTCAGCTTGGCAGCAACCTTCAGTAATTATTTTTTATGGTCTGCAATATCTAGTTAATTGGAAGTATAACTGATTGGGTTCACATTCCAGTCTATTTGATATGTGGTTACTGGTTGGATTTGTTTACTTATTACATTCCAGTCTTTTAGTTTATTAACTATGGATTACAGAAAATAAAGTTTAAAAGATGAAAAATAATTGTTGTTTAACTCTTGTACTGTTGAGCAGCCTTCTCTTTTAAATAGTTTTTACCTCAATGCATCTTCTTTGTGATCTCTGTGCAGAAAATTTTTACCAGCTCATTTAAATTTTACAAATGGAATGTGTGAACTTATTATCAATGCTTAACTTGGCTTTGTAATGATTATGATGATGCAGTTCATATGAGAGTGCTACTCAAAGGTTTTTGGAGAAGAATACCTTGTTGAATGCAACCTTCCCAAGTGCATTTGTTGTCAGTGTTTTCATAAAAGAGCTTTTTTCGCCCTATATTCACATACAATTTCATTACTCCTTTTTCAAATTGAACTTCATTCCCTTAAGAGTTTAATGAAATTTATGATATGATAATGCATTTGGACCATTGATATTAATATGCAATTTTATGCTACTTTTTTTCTTGTGATTTGAATTACTCTTGCAATAAATGAATGAGAGCTAATTGGAGTAAGTTGATGATGGGTATGGTAGATAGCATGGATGCATGATTGTGACAGATATGAAAATAGGAAAGCACGAACATATTGAGTGAACTATTTTTGTGTATTTAGCTAATTATAGGTTTTATTTTTTGAAGCAGATTTTTAGTAGTAACAGAATTTTTTATTAACTCTGCCACCACCACCAACACCAACCTCAACCACACCACGACCACTCCCACCCACACCACCATCGTAAACTGTCGTCATTTGCTCTTCCTCTTCCACCACCACTCTCAAAGATGGAAGAGTGCAGTCAAAAAAATTTAGAGAACTATTCTGCTCAATTCAGTGTCGTAAAGGTAATTTAGTCTTTGCAATCTCTTTTTATTTGTTAATATGAATTTAATTTAATATTATTTATACCCTTTTCAAAGTATGATTATATTCTAATTCTGGTTATTATAATATCAATAAATTAGGATAATCACTTTCAAGAAATAGAAGATACAAGAAACACAGAAGAGGATTGGGAGCATAAGCCTGGAATGGTTTTTAATTTATTTGATGAGCTTTTACAATACTACAAAAGCTATGGGAACAAAAGAGGTTTTGAAGCTATTATAAGATCTTCAAGGAAAGGAGATGATAGAGAGTTGAGATATGCAACCCTGGCTTGTTCTTGTGGCGGGAAGTGGAATAGTAACTCTAGAAATGCCTTTAAAATGCATCCGGTGACAAAAACTGATTGTAAGGCTTGCATTACTGCATCTGTACGTTCTAATGGAAAATGGAAAATATTGTCAATTGTCATTGATCATAACCATGAACTTGGTAGTCCTAGGAAAACAAGATATTTTAAGAGCAATCGAATTATACAACTGTATGTGAAAAGAAAGATTGAATTGAATGACAAGGCTGGGATTAGACCAAACAAGAACTTCAATTCCTTGTTAGTTGAAGCTGGCAGTGGTGAGAATTTCCCTTTCCTACAAAAAGATTGTAGAAACTACATTGAAAAGTTAGGAGGCTGCGACTTAGAGTTGGAGATGCTTCTGCAATCCAAAAATATTTTTTGAAAATGCAAAATGAGAATTTAAATTTCTTCTACATAATGGATTTAGATGAAGATGGTCGATTAGAGAATGTTTTAT